GAAAATGGTATCCAGAAGTTGCCCTGGCCGAGCCAATCTCCTGACATGAACCCATCGAAAACCTCTGGGCCATACTCGACCGGCAAGTCAAGAAACAATAAAAAAAACAACTTCGAAGAGCGATCTACGTAAAGTTTTGAAGCAAGTGTGGGCGAAAATTCCACAATTTAAAATTGACGAGATGATTCTCATGATGCCCCAAAGGGGAAAATTTTAAGCATAATTTTTCTAACCAACAAATTGTCTGGAATGTTACGGGTCAAGCATCTGTTAAACCCGGAGTTTCAAGCAGGGAGCTAAAGCATTTCATCAACAATGAAAACAATCTACCAGAACCACCTCTTTAAGTGCAGAAAGGACTGCCAGAAGCCACTCTCTTGGACTAAGGGCTCTTGTCACCTCTTATGAAGTAATCAAACCTGGAAGCTGGGCTTTGGTGTTAGAGAACCGAGATGTTGTTAGCCTTCACATTTTACAGCTGAGGAATATTCTGGACTTTGGTGTTAGAGAACCAAGATGTTGTTAGTCTTCACATTTTACAGCTGAGGAGTATTCTGGACTTTGGTGTTAGAGAACCGAGATGTTGTTAGTCTTCACATTTTACAGCTGAGGAATATTCTGGACTTTGGTGTTAGAGAACCGAGATGTTATTAGTCTTCACATTTTACAGCTGAGGAGTATTCTGGACTTTGGTGTTAGAGAACCGAGATGTTGTTAGTCTTCATATTTTACAGCTGAAGAATATTCTGGTCTTTGCTAGATTCCAGAAATCATCAGGCATAACACAATCAACTGTAAATGATTTTCTTTAAAATAAAGCAAATTTCTAGGAAATTTAATGAGTACAATAGTACAGTACACAAATAATATTGTTTTATTCTTACACCATGTCTTGATTAGTAATGTTCAAATTTTGAAAAGATTTTCTGATTGTTGTGTTTTAATCTGCATTTTATGTATTGCACACGTATTAATAATTGCCTTCAATAATATTTTGCTGGTTGAGTATTAAATGTTCTACAAAGTTACCTACATTAAGGGGTTGAACAATTGGAGCAATAATTAGAGTTTTTAAAACTTGGCCTGCAGTGTGATCACCAACAAAAAGTTAGAAATGAGGAAGCATGTAGGATGATAGATGGATGGGGAGTTCTTGATATAATATGACCCTTCATTTAATACAATCACATTTTTTTTGGACCCAAGCTGTCTTGTTATACTGGGGTTCCACTGTGTGTATACGTACATATACAGAGGGAGAAGTGAAATTGGTATAATTTTATTGCTAGAAATAAATGATCTTGTAACACCAAATTGTTATTGTATGTTAGTTAGACACTCAACATTTCACTCGACAGCTTCTTCTGGTGCATTCCACTAAAACACAAACTGTAATTAAGGGTATAATTTTATACCAGACGTACTGTTCATATATTGTTATATGTGAATGAATGCCTTTTGAAAAAAATTGTTAAAAGAATTTTGTTTTTTGCCCAGAAATGCTTAAAATTTAATATGGAATCTTTTTTGTTAAAATGAGTAGACAGACAGTAGTCTTTGTTTTAGGTTTCCAAGGTCCTTTGTTTAGTTATACCGATTTAAATCTCAATAGTACACACTTCAACACTTCCATTCAGTTCATATTTGATGGTGGTTAATGTTCACTAGTGCCAGCTTGTAGGTTCATCTCATTGAAGTATGTGCATTGGCTTTGTTTCTGTGTTACTAGGTGCAGGCAGCTTTCAAAGTAAATGTTCCATTTGAAGTTCAAATCTTCAGAGACCTAGTTGGCATTGGAGTACCAGAAGAAAAACAGGAACGATTAGCTTACTCTAAAAGAGCTAAACCTCCCCCACCGAGACTTCGAGTAAGTTTTTTTTATAAATTTAAAAGAGTTTTATTGGAAGTAAAAAAACTAACTTCAAAGTATTAGTATTGTTCATCATTAATATGTTGAATATTTTATCTTATACTTTAATTGGAATGATTGTGTTTGTAAGTATTATTTATAGAGAGAACATTTTTTCTTTTATGTATTTAAGTATTATGCTTTGTATTATCTGTTTGGCCTGTCTCGTACATAGTGGTTATGATTGAAACTTGTTTTTCCAGCAGGTCTAAGTTGCATATATAATTGTAGTAAAGATAAATCAAAATTTGTCCTACCATATTTTGTTATAAATTAGTTGAGAGTAAATGCTGTCACTAAAAAAGACTGTAATGTAATGACATAGTGAGTTTTAAAACCAATTTCTAAATGTAAAGATAAGGAGGCCAAAACTATGCACAAAAATAGGAATTTGTATTAAGATAAAAGACCTCATTGTTTTCATTTGTAATCGGTATGTCTATAAGTGCATCCTAAAACATGATTAGCTTTACTAATAGCAACAGAACATTGCCTCAGTGACTTGAATGACCTATCCAGCACTATGTCAAGATCTTTCACTTGCATCACACTATTCAGTGAATTCCTTTCCATATGGAATTTATCCAAATTATAACACAATACATTACCCAACACTTACTATAAAGGTCATTTGTCAAATATTTATCCAACTTGCCAGTTGATCCAAGTCATTCTTCATCACCTCATCATCATCAGTACAACAAGAAATACCCAAGCATTTAAGACTATCAGCCAAGTTTACTAATTATATTTAAATCAGTATCATTAATGTGAATAAGAAAACACGAAGCCCAAGCACTGACCATTAAAGGACCCCACTATTAATGAGGATCCAGTTTGGCTGGATTCCATATAAATTAATTTTACTTTATCCGACCATCCTAGAAATCAATTTATTATTCTTTTCATAACCCCATTTATTGTGATATGTTTAGCCAATTCTTTATATCGAACCTTATCAGAAACTTTTTAAAAGTCTAAATGCACCAAATCCACACACTTTCCATCATCCAAATAACATTTTTAAAAAGATAAATAAAACATCACCTATTACTCCAGAAAACGTAACTGTTTTTATTTAAGTCAATTTTTCAATCATGGTTTGTCGGAGCAAACAAGACAAATAAAAACTATGGACCAATAATTAATGTTTTATCTATCTTTTTTACAATGAATATAACTGTTTAAAAGGCCTAGTATTTTTGTTTTTCATTCTTGTAAAACTATACTCCTATCAGTATACCACACTAAGTAAATCAGAGTCATGCATATAATTAAAAAAACTACTAGTGCCAAGTTTATTTTTAAATGCACAATAAAAAAATAATAAAACATTTTAATATTTCATTACTTATCTAAAACATAAAACTGGTAAACTTTGAAAAGCTTGAAGGATAATTCCCTTTCTTCATGGTGGTATATAATTTTAAACTCCTGTGTCAATCCTTTAAACTGATAAACTTCGGAAAGCTTGAAGAAGAATGCTCTTTCTTCATGGTGGTATATAATTTCAAACTCTTGTGAACCCAACTGAACAGAAACTGCCTATTTTAAAAAACAACAAACTACCACTGCAATTGCCACCAGTTCAATTTTCAGCATCCAGTCATTTGTTTTTTTCTACTGATGTTTTAAGATGAGAAGTTTTATGGAATTTCAGAATTATTCATTCAAATGAAAAGATCACAACATAGAAATTGGCCAAAAGTTTTCACATGGGCGAGAAAGAACATCAAAGCCAGCCATACATGGATTAATTCCATATTTACTTCCATACTGAAGCAGAAAATCCAGAAGTCTGATGGGTATATTCTTTTGTTTCTGAGAGCTTGAACAAGTCTCTCAAGGTGAAACTGTAAAATATTTATGCTTGCTTTTAGGATGAAAAATCTGTCCACATAAAATACATTGAATCAGAGTTCTTAGGGCATGCTACTGCCACTAATATATTTGACAAGCTGTTTCTTGTTGTCACAGACCTCAAATCTACAATTTTATTGCAGATATCTATAGATGACAGCAGTGTTAATTGGAAATTACATCAATGTTATCAACTGAAGCTAATAAACTTAATCCAAAAAGTCATCTGTTTCAAGTTGGATATTGTAATGTTCACACAATTCACAATGCTTATAGAGATGAGTTTAAAGCAGGTGATCAGAAACTTGAATAAACTGGAAAATTTCTACAATTTTTTCAAAGATTATCTTGAAAGAGTTGATGATTTAAAAAGTGAGACTGGATGTTTGGACCTTCCACCAAAGTTTTGTAAGCACAGATGGCTAGAAAACATGAGTATTTTGGAAAAGTACTTGTTCTTGCTACCTCATTTTAAAACATAAGTGATTGCACAGAAAAACCCACCAAAATTATAGGCATATGATAGTATTCATGAAGCACTTCCTTTTATAGCTGCAGATCTCTTGGTTTTTTCAGGGGTTTGTTGGGCAAATGTCATTTCAGAACAACTGGATCACAACACCTTGCAAGGCTGGAGTTGACAGACAAAGAGATTTAAAGGATCCTTCCAATATTAATATTGATTTTGTTACAAAGAATTTTCTTCAAAAATTAGTGACAAAGATTTGCTAGGCTTTAGAATTATGCAGGAAGTTCCTCAAGGTTGTTGTTGTGAAAATTATTCAGAACTTGTAGCTTGATAAGGAACAGGAGCTGCTTGAATCCAGAAGTGATGTTGTTAAATGCAGTGCTGTTATTTGATCAACTTGTCTAGAAAGACTGGTAAATGCAGGCAGAGTGAAAAAATGGGACTGTGACACTATTCTCAGGCAGTACAGAGTTTCTTGTGACATCCAAGTGATTGCCTGATTTAATGAGTTTCAGAGAGAGAGAGAGCAGGACAGGCTGGATACTCTATATTTCTGTATCCTGGCAGACAAGAAACAGTTCCACATGTTTGGAGAACTTGCGAAACTCTTCTTCCCTGTCTCATAGACAGGTCAATGTCAAAGTGGGCTTTTACAAAACATACTTACCTCCTCTCCCTACAGCTATTACTCGACTGCCAGGGTTTCTTCTTTGCCCATCTAAGCACTATTCTGACTTTTGCTTGCTCCAGACTTTTATACCCCACTTAATTGTCCTTGGCGATATTTGTCTCATGACACTCTCCACCTACGTCAATGCACCCTCTATCCTGGTATTATATATAAGCACCTCATTCAGACAATTTCACCACTTTTTCTCAACATAGCGTCACTAATGGGTTTCCCAGTATTACGATTGTTCAGAGATACTTTAAATGTTATCATGTTACAGAGTTGATTTTCATTAAAAAAAATAAAAAATTTCGATTGGCAACCTGTTTTACAGTATGAATTCCCAAATCATTATTTCCAGCACAAGTCTCTCCTATCCCACCTCTGATATCTAGCATCACACAACAATTGAGGGGGGAGATCACTCTCAGAGGGCTCTGAGACTGTAATTGAAGGCCATAATCCTGGACATTCTGGAGAGAGTTTAGATTCACTGCACCTTCTTCTAGTCTATTGGCTTCTCAGTCCCTCTGTGGGACAGTGGTAAGTTTTTGCACTTGCAACACTGGAATTCATGGTTCGATTCCCTATAGTAGACACAGCAGATAGCCCAATGTTGCTTTGCTCTAACAAAACAAATTTACTTAGTCAAATGTTCCAAGCAACAGTGATAAACACAGTCTTTAAATGAAATAAAAAAGGAGCCTACTTTGGGATAAGCTTCCTCTGATTTGTTTTCTTCGGTTGGTTCATAGAGTGACATTTTGGGTCTTTTCCCAGTTGCTTTTGAGTCTGCACTTTACTTATGGCTGAAATTTCTGGAAGTGAATATTTAGTTTTCTCTCAATCCATGGACATTGTGGTTCATGCAGGATAGTGTACTTCTCAGTTACATGAAGGGACATCATGTATTTCAGTCAGGCTCAGCTGCTTCCCATCCAGAACAGGAAGCCAAACTCATACTCGCCTCTTCTTTTCTCGCTGCACAGTTGGTTGTTTCTCATTTGGGAATGTGGGCATCACTCAAATTCCTCATGCCTTTGGGACAAGAGCACAAGAGTTACTTTTAATGGTCTTTATGTGACCAAGGGATCATGAACATTAATTCACTGGATTTCCCAGTTCCTTAATCAAGATCATTCGTCAATTTTGAGTAGTTAAGTCAGGATACTACTAAGGTATGGGTTCCTCTGCCACCACCTCATCCAGAGTTCTATCTCTTGATGAATGCTTTGTTTCAGGGATGGGGTGCATATACCAACAGTCAGGAATTCTGGGGTCTATGCACGGATGACGAGGATTCCCTACACAATGTTTTATTCCTTTTTGCCCTTGGTCTGGGTTTATTAAGAGGAAAATCATCAGGCTTCACTCTGACAATTCCATAGTGGTGTTTTGTATTTCCCATTGAGGAGGCACTTGATCCAGGGTTCCTTGTTTTTGAACCTTGCACCTTCTTTCTTGAGACAACTCCTATTGTATCACCCTACTAGCTTACCATGTTCCACGGGTGATGACTGCAGTAGCAGATCAGTTGTCTCAACCCAAACAGATTCTCCCAATAGAATAGATGCTGCATTGCAAGGTTCTGTTGGATTGGCTCTCATTTTGCAACACTGATGATTGGTAGGTTGGACACTCATTGGAACACCCAGCTACTGGCAATTTGATCTCCAGTACCTCACCTTCGGGCTTTGGCAATGGATGCATTCCGTCAGGATGGGATGGGATTACAACTCAGTGCCTTCCCTCCAGTTCATATGTTACCCAAGGTTCTAACTATGATTTATTCCAACCCATTGTTGGGTCCTGTTATTAGCACTGGATTGGCAGTTACACCCTGGTTTCTGCTTCTGTGGTACCTTCAGTAGTGTCCACCTCTTCCACTTGTTCTTTAGCCATCTCTGTGGCAGCAGCCATAATCTGACACGGTACATCTGGTTACCCAGAAGCTCAAGC